CCTGTGTCGGGGACGGCTGGTTTTGTTCGGGCGCTTCGGGTGAGCGTTCGGCGACTGCGCCTCCTCAGGCTGGCCAGCATTCCAACGGCTGTGGCCCTTCCTCCTGCCAGCCCGCACGCGCCGGATCCGCGAAGGGAGATCGGCGTCACCCCAACATTCAGGAGGGGAAAACACAGACACAATGAATCGTCGACTCCCCAGAAAATATGGGAAAATATCTGAAGTGGGAGGAAGACGAAAACGCAGAAAATATGATAAAGTATAGGGAATCCTTGTATGTGTGTGTGTGTGTGTTTATTTGTGTGTCCCAGGGCCCCTTCGTGTGTGCGCGTCGCCCCCCCAGGTGCGACGCGCGCAGCGAGAAATCTTCTGGTGTATATGCGGCGTGGCGGGCGCTTTCTGGCCACACCGCTCGGGAAACAATGTACTACAAAGATGGGTGTATAGTGTACGTGTTCGTTCGGGCTGCATGCACGCCTCCTAGGAGGGCATGCAGTACTAGTATGTCCCTGTGCGTCCCAGGATGGGACAGACAGGTAGTGCCTGACTGCGCCGCTCCGCTCCGGAGGAGGAGCCTTCGCCAGACACGAGAGAAGCTGGGATCGAACATGTCTTGGCATCGCTCGGACGTGTGCATTTTTCCTTCGGCGAGGACCATCGAGGAGCATCCTTCATCATTTGGCGAAAAAACACGCACTAAACCGAAAAAAACACAGGGAATGGACGTCCGAGCGATGGCGAGATGTTCGCCAGTCCCTGCCCACGTTGGCGGCGCCGCGAGGATGGAGGCCTTGTGGCAGTCAGGGGACTCTCAAGTAATCCTCTGGAGGCCTCCAGGGGCCCTGCGGGGACCTCTCGAGTCCTCCCTGGAGACCCGGTGAAACCTCTGCAGCGTGGGCCGGAGGATCGGACCATTGCAGTTGCGTCGCGGCCAGCATTCGGCGGCGCCCAGAGAGGAGTGGGCTTGCAAAAATCGGAAGGGGAACAAACACAGGCACAATTAATCGTCGGTGTCCATGGAAGTATGGGAAAATATGGGAAGTGGGGGTGAAGACGAAAACCCAGAAAATACAGAACATGTGGGGTATCCTGGGATTCGTGTGCATTGATGTGTGTGTGTGTGTGTGTGTGTGTGTGTGTGTCCCTGGGCCCCGTCAACAAAAAGGCCTGCGGCGGTGTTCAGAAGGCGGCGGTGCTTCTTCCAAGGGCCTCGCGGCTGCCAAGAAGGCTTCACGGAGGCTCTCTGGCAAAGGCTCCGCTTCTCGCTGCCCCCCGCAACCCAGGACGCCCCAGGAGGCCCGAGAAGAAAGCACGTGGGTTCCTAACGCCACAGGGCGGGACAAGCCTGAAAACACATGGGCTCCTAGCGCCCCAGGGCGGGAGACGCGTGAGCACACATGGGTCCCTAACGCCCCAGAGCGGGAGAAGCGTGAAAACACGGGTTTCTGACGCCCCCGGGCGGGAGAAGCGCAACACACAGGCCCCTCCGCTTCTCAAGAGGCTCTTCCACCGCAGATCGGCGCCATCCCAACACATTAGCTCTGTGTGTGCGTCCCCCCCCCCCCCCCCCCGGGGGCGACGCGCACGGCGAGGCATCTTGTAGCATATGCGTCGTGGCGGGCGCGCTCTGGCCACGCCGCTCGGGAAGCGACATACTACAGTATGGATATGCTACACGTTCGGGCCGGACGCGCGCTTCCGAGGAGGACTTTAGCACGTCTGTGGGCGTCCCGTCAGACGCGAGTTGGGTGGGCTTCCCGCGGCGGTCGTGTTCAGAGGGCGGCGGCGTTTCCTGGAAGGGCCTGGCGGCTCCTGAGAGGGCTTCACAGCAGCCTCGGGGGCCTTTCTAGAAGGCCCTACTTTCCGAGAGGCCCTTCTGCTTCAGACGCGAGCTGCGTGTGCTTCCAAAGAGGCGGCGGTCGTGCTCAGAAGGCGGCTGTGTTTCTTGGAAGTGCCTGGCGGCTCCTGAGAGGGCTTCACAGAAGCTTCGGGGGCCTTCTACAAGGCCCTGCTTTCCGAGAGGCTTGTTAAAAGTTTTCACGCGCTCAGGATCGAGGATGCAGACGTCCAAGGTCAGGGGCTGCTACAGGTGCCCCTGGCCCAAGGTCCCCCCCGGCTCCTCGCCACGCTCTGGCCCCCCTGCGGCCTCTCCAGGGCCGTGGGGGCCTCCCTGGACCTCCTGGGGGCACCCGGGGCCGGGGGCGCTTCTGGCAACGCTCGTCCAGGGACCCGAAGGCACTCCGGCTTGTTTACCAGCCTCGAACGTATCCCTATCCTTAAGATTGACACGCCAAAAGGCGATGACAATCTTAGGGATTCGCCCTCAAAAAATAAGGGAATCCCTAAGATTGGCATCGTGATGAGAAGGTGCCCAGCATAGGGATAGGGATATGTTCCAGGCTGGTAACTTGTGCCCCAGGGCACGGTGGCGGACGCTCGGCGGGGGAGCCCGGGGCCCCTGGCATCGGTGACCCGCCGCCGCGCCCCAGAGCCAGGGCCCCTGGCATCGGTGACCCAGCGTCGGGCGTTGCCAGAGGTGCCCCTGGCCCAAGGTGCCCCCAAGGCTTTCCAAGGAGGCCTCCAGAGCACCCCTCGCGAGACCCCTAACAGGGCCCCCGGGGCTCCACGATGGAGCGGAATGCTGGGGGCACCTTGGGCCAGGGGCACCTTCAGCAACCCCGGGCGTCGTGGCATTCTCACCGTGGCTGTGCAGAGTTGTTTGGGGCACTCTGCCGCAAGGGTGTCTCGAAGAGCCAAAAACGGCATGATTGTTGGGGTCCGCGCGGACCTCCGATTTTTTTGTTTATGTCTGCGTTTGCTTTCCTAACTCTGCCGCAACGGTGTCGTTCTTCGTCGACCTCTTGCCCCAGCCGGGGGTTCGGCCGATCAACAGCTGCCCTTGCGCGGCCCCTAGTGGGAACCCCAGAGGGTCCCAAACGTCCGTCCGGTTTTGAGGATGTCGTCCAGATGTCGTTCAGAATTCTTATCTGACTTCCGAAAATCCTACGCACTCGTCGGGTAGATCATTTCAGCAATCGATCCCCCTACTCGAGGGAAGGGTCACCCAGCAGACCAGACTTCACCCATGCCTTCTCGCCCCGCCCTTCGCAGAGCGGCCACCCGGGAGAGCAGCACCGCCCCCGTCCGCCCCGCGGTGCGCCGCGCCCAGCTCTGCGTCGCCGTTGTGGTCGCCGCCGCCAGGCGTCGTCGTCCTCGTCGTCGTCGTCGTTGTCGTCGTCGTCGTCTTCGTGGTTGTAGTCGTCGTCGTTGTCGTTGTGGTTGTCGTCTTCGTCTCCTTCGTCATCGTCGTCGCCGTCGTCGTCGTCGCCGACAGCTGCTACTACTGCTACTGTTACTACATCGACTGCTGCCATGCCGTGCTGCTATTACCACGGTCCCGCCATGTTACTGTTACCTGGGGCTGGCCGACCACCCCACGTCACGGACGTTAAGGGATTGGCGAGACAGCAAGTTTAGATGGAGTTCCAGAGTTCATGCACGTTGTTGCGCCAGCAATCGAGCACCAGACCAGCATGAGGGGTGCACTCGTTGCACTGACTACGATGACCATCCATAGAAGTTTAGGCTTTGCGTGCGAGTCGGTCGGATGTCGTCGCCGTTCCATGGCACGCCATGCCGTGTCTGGTGCGAGGATTCCCCGCTAGGGCGC